GGCCCCGGGCACGTGGCTATTGGGGGGCCCCGGGCGCGTGGCTATGGGGGGGCCCCTGGCGCCCGACAACCTCAAAAGTTTGGGGACCACTGCTCTAAGTTCTAAGTCCTCCTCTGATGCCCTGCCGGCACTGCTTCCGGCCATCCTTAAGCCCGGTTCAGGGTCCACTTAATGTGGACATGCTAGTTCGAATTAGCAAAATGCTAATTCAAACTAGTTTTTTAGTCTGGATCCGTTAGTTCGAATTAGCTTAGTTCGAATTAACTACTTCGAACTAAGTTAGTTCGAATTAACGTTGTAATGTAGACATACCCCCACATCCTTCAATTGGGCCACCATGAGCTTCTCCAAACGTCTGGCCACCCTGGGCCCTTTGGGCCTGTCCGGACTCAACGCAGCCGGGGCCCTACCACTTCTTAACTCTGCCATGGCCAGCGCATGCTGTCGCTGCTCTCTACGGTCCTGGACCTCCAATTCCTTCATCTGTAGCTGGATCTCCAGCCGCCGCAGCTCCGCTGGGCTGGCCCCTGCCCTAGACAGCTTGCAGGGCTTCCATAGGAGGCAGTCTGGTCTTTCCGGCAGACTCCAGTGCTCCGCCCTCTGTCGGAGCCTGAGATGTTCCCAGTGGGGGTCTGGCTGGGATCCCAGTGGGGGTCTGACAGGATCCCGGCCCCATGGCTGGTCCTTCTCTTCCAGCCGGGCAATCAGCTGGGCCTTGGTTGCCTTTTCCAAGGGCAGGTCCCTCTCTCTGCACAGCTTCACCAGCTCTGCCTTCAGGAGTTGGGTGTAGGCCATCTCCCCGCTGGTCCTCTCGGTGCAGACTCTCCAGTCTAGTGCTGCAGCACCCCATGATTCCCAAGAACCGCTTCGCTCTGGCTCCAGCACGCCTGGCTCTAAGCCCCTTTCCTTGACACTCACTGCTGGGAGCTTCATCCATGGGGTACAGTGCATCCCACTCCTGACACCACTGTGGTGGCATGTCGGGGTTCCCCGCCTCCTGCAGCCCCAGAATGGCACAAACAGACTCCACCAGCCAATAGAATAGAGGGAGTCTATTGCTTCTCCAGGATACAGCACAGCAAAGATGTAATCCGGTTACAGGGCAGGCCTAGGATACCTCAGCCCCCCTTTGAGATGGGGGAGACTGGGCCCCTAAATCCCAGTCCGTTGCTTAGGCTGCTTCCTCCATGATACCAGACAGAAACTAAAAAGTCCTTTCCAGCCCTGCCCCCCAGCCAGGGGCTGGCCTCCCCTCCTTCCTTTGTTTCTCTCCCTGGGAGGCAACTGGTCAGACAGGTTGGGAGCCCCTTGCATAATGACTCATCCCCTGTCCTGCTGGGCCGTGCTACAGCCAGCAGCCAGCGGGGGTCACCCACAGCCCACCGCCCAGCATAGCAACCAGCAAGGTACCAACGCTGTGTCACAATGTGCCCTGGGAAAGTGGACTGGGGTGCAGAATGGGGTACAGGGTCTGGGAGGGGGTTGTAATTTGGGGCAGAAGTGAAGGAGGAGGTGAAGGGTTGTGACCAGGGACAGCGGATTAGGGTGAAAGGTCTAGGAGGGGTTTGTGACCTGAGGACGGGTTTAATAGGGGAGGGACAGGTTGGGGTGCCAGAAGCAGGCTGTGGCTGGGAGACCTTACCTGCGTGGCTCTTAGCCAGCAGCCCAGCAGGTTCCTTAGCCAGGTTCCCTGCCTTCCATGCCCCTGTACATGCTCAGAGCAGCTGCAAGGGCAGTGTTTGATGCTCTGAACTCAATGCTGTGAACCTGGGGAATAAAGCAGGAGGGGCACTTTACATACTTCCTGTCCTGCAAACAGGCAGCTGCTATTGACCAGAAAGCAGCCAATGGGATCTACTGTGGGTGGGGGAAGCATGAGACACCTCTGGCACCTCCCATGGCCTTTCAGCATTCCGAGATGCACATATGGCTCTGCATACTGTAGACCAGGGCTAGAGTGAATCCATTTGCACTGAAGCAGATGTTATAGTTCCTGAGCTCCACCTCTAATAAATTCAGGCCAATCTCACCCTCTCACTGCTATAGGAGAACTCTACTGAGAATTTTTCTACAGGAAAAACATTTTTGTTCAGGATAAAGGCAACTAACAATAGGAAAGGAGAAACTGAGTCTTATAAAGCATAATCTTCAGTAGCTTTCTCCTGGTGGCTTAGGACTAGACTACACACAAACTTGCGGTTTGTTTTTACATTCCTTTGTATTTTAATGTAATGACTATGAAACTGACACAATATAGTCACTGTGAAATGAACATTCTCCATATACAGAATATTGATGAATATTGTTATATATTTTTGCATTCAAGAATCTTAAAATCAACTTTAGATTTAAGGGTAAAACCACATCAGTTTTGACTAGTCATGCAACTCTTGGATACTGAACCTTTTCTGCCATTGCATTTGCCATTCCTGCCACATTTTTTTCATTTTGCAGAATCAATATTCCTCAAAGCAACCTTTATTGTCAGTCAGCTTCAGGAAGTGCTGTTATCAGAAGGATTGGCATAGAGCTCTGGTAAAGCGATTTAATAGCAGTAACATCAGCTTTGATGGAATATTCCAGTAATTTGTACATGTTTAAATATGAGAAAATTAGAGTAATGTGGAAGAAAGGAAGGAAAGGGCTAGAAATGTATGCTTAAAACAAAAAAGGAGAGAAGGCTGAAAGACAAGACACAATATTTAGAAAAGATAAGATGGAAATAGAAGAGGAAAGGCATGGGGGCATGAAACTTGAGATGTGGAAATGGAAAACAGGATATTGTTGTTATTTATTATTTGTGTTAACTTATTGTCAAGGGGAAAATGTTTTTGCTATTTTCTGCCTCTAGCTTCCCCCAGTTTCTTTTCCTCCCTTTTGCTCTAGAGACACCCTTCTATAAAAACTTCAAAGAATGTAATAAACATTCCCTTACTTTTATTTTGTGTCTAAGTATGTTTTCCTAGTCGAAACAGTTGCCAGACACTAAAACAGAATTAATTCCACCCAGAAAAGGAAGCTACAAAGATGGTCCACAGCACTAAGCATCCGATAAAGCAAACTGAAAGTTGTATTTTTTTTCTTGTAGATTTGCTACAGCTATAAAAAAATTCAGTTCCCTGAATCCACTTATAATATTTAGTGGAGATTGCTTAAATCCATCAGCTTTAAGTTCTATAACAAAAGGAAAACATATGATTCCTATATTAAACGAAGTAGGAGTACACTTTGCAGTCTTTGGTAAGTAAATGTTATTTACAAATGAACTTCATAATATGTGTGCCAGGCTAGTTTATTTACAGCTACCTTTTATAAGCTCACCCATAGTTAGATTGTAAGCTCTATAGTGACTATAACTAAGGTTTTGTCTACACAACACAGCTTTTAGGAAAAAGGGATGAGGAAAGAAATGTATAAAGCAATTACTTATTCTCATTATATTTGGGTATTCAAACTGCACAAGCTAGATGCCTGTCTTTTTCTGATGCAAGCTTATTTGAGCAGAAGAGCAAGACTAGCTAGTATTTTCATTTTCTTTCTCCTTTTTGGTCACTGCGCTGAAAATTGCAAAAGCCACTCAGCTGATAAAAAAATAAAATTATGTATCACCAATTTTGTGTTTTCCTAGTCTTTCTGTTGTAAATATACAGTGTACATTTGCAGAACACTACATAGACCAGAGGTGGGAAACCTGCAGACCAGGCCACCACTTCTCACAGCTCCCATTGGCTGGGAATGTTGAACCACCAACTGGGAGCTAAAGGGCTCTTTGCCTGTGGACACTCAATAAACAAATCATTTTTCAGCCCACCAGCAGCTAACCCCGGTGAAGCACATGCAGCCTGTGGCCTGGAGGTTCCCCACTCTGACATAGACCATAACACTAGGTAAAGGACCATATTTTCAAAGATTGCAATGGGTATGTTTATAAAAACCTATATTTATGCATGTGAACAGGCACTTATGTGTGAAATTGTCCCTCCTTGCATATTAATAGACTTTGTCCCAGGCCTGTGGGGTTTTGTGTCCCAAGAGCTTTGGCATACAGAATTGTTTGGCATAATGCACAATAGATATAGGCGTTACTGAAAGTCACATACAAGACTACAAATAATAGCTCCAAGACTTGATCCACTGACCTGTATACTCCTGGCTGCACCAAGAGGCTCTCTTAAATAGGCCTAATTATTTACACACACCTTTGTGATGTCTGGAAGCTTTTGGCATGGTACCAAAAAGCACCTTTTTCTACCTTCCACTACATTGCAAAGGTCAACCAAACACATGGTAGGATAACAAACTGAGACCTGTAGCTTTATTTCTCTCAAGAATCTTACCCTAGGTATTACATATGATTTTTTTCTAGCCATAAATATTGGGCTTGCAAAAACTTAAATAATATATGTACAAAAGATATAGATGCATAAAAGTGGATATTTTAGGGAAAATATTTTGTGGTCATTTACAACATTATAAAGCTGTGCTAATTACGAAGTAAATAAAATGAGTAATGGTTTTCACTGCTGTAAAAGAGAGGTATTTGGGTCTTTAGTTTAAAGAAAAAACTCTAATGCTATTCTAAATGACATGAAAACTAAAATGATCTCATATGATTACCTTTTTGTGTTAGCTTTAACAAGCTAGTTTCTGAATTTTTTTATTTTTAGGAAACCATGAATTTGATTTTGGTGTTGATGTTCTGGAAGATTATATACAACAAATGAAATTTCCATGGTTCCTCAGCAACGTATATGACAAATTTACCTCTAACCCACTAGGCCATGGCACAATAAAAAAAGTAATTAAATGGAATAATATGAAAATTGGTTTAATGGGATTAGTTGAAGAAGACTGGCTGGATACTTTGGCTACCATTGACAAATCAAACCTCAACTACATAGATTATGTCAAAACAGCTTATCAAATATCAGCAGACCTTAAAGCAGAGGGAGCAGAATTTATAATTGCTATGACACACATGAAATGGATTAATGACATCAGACTTGCAGAGAACAGCCAAGGAATAGATCTGATTCTGGGGGGCCATGACCATGATTATGGAATAAAAAAGATAAATGGAACTTGGATTGTCAAAAGTGGATCAGATTTCAGGAATTTCTCAAAAATAAATATAAGAAAGTTCAGGGCATCATTTCAGTATACATTTCAGAGAATTGACATCTTGAGGAATCTAGAAGAAGATTCTTTTATCAAATCAGTGGTGGATGATTATTCTCAAAACCTGCAGGTAAGTACAACTTCCTTAAATATTTTGTTCCAGAAAAAGAATATATTAATTGTTGTTATAAGTGACAAGACTGGTAACAAAGGGCCGAATTTTGATCTCAGTTATCATATAAATCTGGATTAATTGCACTGTATGCAATGGAGTAACATAATACTTACACTGAAATCAGTGAAATTACTCTGTACAAATACAAATTAAATTTAAATTGCAAAGAGAGATAAAAAGAACTAGCTTAGTTTCAGTCCTGCCAAAGCTGACAGGTTGAAACTGAAGGCAAAATTCCTTCCTGATGTAATTCCATTGATTTCAGTGGAATTATACCAAAAAGAAATTTGTCACATTACATTTTAATGACTACAGATATTTTTAATAGAAAGTTAATTGCTATTAAAAGACATAGTTTTGAGACCAAGTATAAGGATTATAGCCGCAGAACATCAGATATGTTATCTATTTTGTATCTACAGTATATAGTAGTTCCAGAAATATATAATAAAGCTCTCATGGCCAAAAAAAACAAAAACAACAACAACAACAAAAAACCCACCATTGAAGTCCCTTTGTCAGTGAATTAAAAAAACTGCAGGGTCTATATATAGGAGAATTAATGTAGTAATCTATAAAATCCTCCATTCTGTGAGTGTTGGGGATATTTGAACACTCCTTAAATAAGAATATCCTGGTTTTTATTATTAAAACTGTTGTCTATTATTTATTACTGTTGCATCTGGGAACCTAGAGCTCTATGTTTAAATGCATTTAAATGTATTTAAACTATTGACTTAAATAGTATCTTTCCACTGAAAATAAAATGTTTTTGACAAAATGTTAAAATATGAAATAAAGCCTCTGCTATGCGACACTACCATTGTTCATGGTGGCTTCCTGCACAACAGTCTTTAGTTTTTGTAGGAAGATGCATCTATGAACTACTGTATTCTACAGTCCTAAAGGGACTATAACACACAAGGAAATTTTAATTGGAAAGTTTTATCCACCGGGGTACTAAAAACTAGTACACATTAGATGGGGACTTGGAAACTGTTAAACTCAGATTGTCTCTAAAATTGTTTGTAATCCCAGTATGACTGAATCTATCATTAGCTTCTCTGAGCTAGGAAAAGTATCCATTCTGACAATGAGTGTCAACATGTTCTTTTGAACTTCTACTGCATAGGGTTATCTGAAAGAGCAGTCAAGAACAAACTGTTCAGAAACTTGTTTCAGAAACTGTGGTTAAAACCTCAGAACAGGTTTTGTCTATATATATAATATATCAGGGTTTCTCAAACTTTATTGCAGAATGACTCCCTTCTGACAACAAAAATTATTACACCACCCCAGGAGGGGGGACCAAAGCCTGAGCCTACTGCTCTGGGTGAGGGGAGGGAAGGATCAAAGCTGATGAAAAGCTTCTGTCCTGGTCAGGGGGCATGTAACCTTTGATCTGCTAGGGCTGAAGCTCTTGGGCTTCAGCTTTGGCCCTGGCCAGTAGGGCTTTTGCTTTGGCTTCAGCTCTGGGCTGTGAGTCCCGGGCATTGGTTTTGGCCCTTGCCCCAAGCAAGTCTAACATCAGTCTTGGTGACCATTGCAATATAGCAACGATAAATGACAGAATGGGATTTCCTCTGCCTCGTTTTTATAGATCTGTGTGTAATGTTAAATTCTCATCATTGTAGATGTAGAATGGAAGCCAGGTAGAGCTGGAATTGTTGCTATTTGTCCATTGCAAAACCTTCTGTTCATGCATTCAGATAGTAGGGAATGAGAAGAGATTATATTCTTCTTCTGGGTCTCGGCTTTCTTTTTATTTTTCCTAATTAACATTTTTAACATTTTTACAATGTAATTCATTAGTTTTTAGGATATATTTGTTTCAAATAATAAACTCTGCTGTAAACTTTTCTCTTTTTAGCCTCTTTTAGAGGAAGTTCTTTGTCCAATCGACACAGAATTAGATGGCCGTGTTTCTACTGTAAGAAGAGCAGAGAGCAACCTTGGAAACCTGATAACTAATGCAATGCTAGAAGCTACTCATGCTGATGTAGCATTACTTAATTCAGGTTGTCCTTTTAAAAACATTTAGTGTAATCAAAATGTTTGGTATGTTTTAACTTTAATTTACTTGTTAAAGATGATAGCAATGTTTGGAATATTTTTTACTTACTTATTTAGTAATCATTTGTCTAAGTAAGAGTACATCGAGAAGGCAAGGAATTTGAAAAGGTCAATGAGTGACTTTCAACTAACAAAACTGAGGCAATCAAGAACTAGAGATTTTTTTAGTGGAAAAGAAATTCAAGTAAATTTGATTGATTCATAGACATACACGTTGGGGTGTAATAAAAGTAAACAAGTAAACTGACCAATTCTGGTAAGATTTTGGAGTACATGATATGTTTATATATCTTCCCAAAACAAACTGAAAAGGTGTTAAAGCATTATATTAACAGGATGTGACCAGTTTCCACCTTGTTTGAAAACTGTACCCTTTCCTACTCTCCATTGGTGTCTATTTGCTTTTTCTTTTAAAATACTATGATCTCTGGGCTAGGAACCATGCCTGTTGTGTTTGTACAGGTGCTAGAAACAAATTAACGATAGTAATAGTAGTAAATGAGATTTAAAGGGGTTATAGCACAGTATATCAGAGAGACTAAATAGCTAAGGAGCAATCTTGGCCCCATTTTGTAATTCTTAGCTGCCTCTTCCCCAAATAATAAATAATAATAAATATCGCAGTTTTAAAAACTTCCAATTTCCACATGCACACACTTCATATTAGTACAAAGTACAATTTGCTTCCCTTTACTACCCCTTTCACAATGTGTTTTTTAAAACAACCTTATACAAATCTTCATGGACAAAGTTAGTTTGGTTGTATTAAAATCTCCCTTTCCCACCTTCTCTTTTCCTAGTAAACAATTATTCTTTTATAGTATCCCTTTAAAATAAGAAATGTTGCTTGCTGTATGGTCTTATTTTTAAATTGGACATACTGTTTTTGTTACCAGCATGGTTTTAAAGTTTGAAATGAAGATTGATCCTCCAGACACATATAGCACATTCATGTGCAGAACTTATATATGTGAATGGTCTCATATGCGCAACTATTTGCACAGTTAGGGTCTAAAATATGTTTAGTTCTATTCTGGGTTTTGTCTTGCTGACATTTTATTTTAAAAAGAGAATGCTCCCAGTAGAGTTCTTCAGAGTAGAATTGGACTTTTGATTGGTTCTTACTCAATGTTTGCTTTGAAGTGGAAATGTTGAATGTACCTTTTTGAATTGTTGCTTGGATGGTTTTAAAATTCAAAACTTGATGGTGCTAGCTGGACTATTTGTTTTGTTTTTTCTTTTAAAATGGAAATGATTTGTCATGGTTTTAATTTTTAAGATGGCATGACTTGTTGTCATCCTTCCTCATCAACACAACAGACCTTAGAATTTATATAATTTGTGTCAGATAATGAGACTGTTTACTCATGGAACAAAAGGGACCAGGGAATATTTTGATTTTCTTTATGACTATAGGTACACTTCGTTCAAACTATATTCATCCTCCAGGAGATTTTACAATGCATGATCTTTTAACTATCCTTCCCATTGTGGACCCAATTCTAGTAGTCAAAATTACAGGAGGACAATTGTTGGAAGCCCTTGAAAATGGAGTCTACAGGTATCCAGCTCTCGATGGAAGGTATCTAGAGTATTAATCCAATACCTTTTTATATGAAAATGCCAATTGTTCTGAAAACTTGTGGAAATTCTCCATGCTGTCCTTAGGAGAAGCTACTTTATTGCAGCATTCAGATGTACTAGGTAATGATGATGATAAATGCATGAGCCTATGTGATAACAGTAACAAGCACATTAATACAGCACTCTAGGCAAGACAAATGACTAATGTAAGTACGAACATAAAATCTATGGATACAGATAAATCTTTGTCACACACAGTGTATGAAAAGCTATACAAAATAAATGTAATTTTATTGGCAGTCACTTACTTTTTATAGTGAAAATAAAAATAAGGAACAATGCACACTGCTAGCTAATAGGTATTACATTCTGGAACTAATTTGATTCCACAGATAATTGTTCAGGCTATATGAATAAATTGGGTCACTATGATCAGTTTGGATTTAGCAATTGAGCCAGAAGTTCAGTTTGACCCTTAAAAATGAAACCTGGAAACAATTGTGACCATGGTGCAAGAATGGGAGAATTCAGATATTTCACTCGGTAATTCTGTAGCCCAGATGATTAACTCTTGGGCCAATAGCCACCACTTGTAAGAAGAGGAAAAGCTGCCTTTTCAGCATGGTAATTCATAGAGTAATCAGTGAAAGTACCGTCTTTAGAAACACAGAATTACAAACATACATTAATTCAGATACTGAATTAATTATTGTGAGTTTATAGGGCTGTTTATTGAAGTGTACTTGTTCAGAATTCTGGAAGAGTTAGTGCTTTGGTTGATTCTTCTTAGGAAAAAAGGTTTATTTTTTTAACATCCAGGTTTCCTCAAGTAGCAGGAATGGAATTTGGATTTGATCCAAATGCAGAACCAGGGCATCGTATTATAAGAGACTCTGTAAAGATTCAAGGACAATATCTCAAGAAAAGCAAAGTCTATCGACTTGCCATTAAGGAGTATTTAGCTAATGTAAGCTCTAACGTGTTTAAATATTTTGAATGATTTTCATGCTTCAAGAGTGTTGTTTTTATGAAATACTATCTTATGTTGATAGCTTAATTATGATAGCATAGAAGATTGGAATTTGACTCCTTTCTACATGTTGTTCACTCCCTGTTTCTATCTGTCTTTATTTCTTATACAAATTTCTATAATTCTTCACTCTACCTTCCATTCCTTGCAAAATATACCTGATTTCTGAGTGTGCTTTAACTGGCAAATTATGCATATGCAGATATTGTATCTGCATACTTAAATAATCTAGTAGGGCACCTAGACATCTGAATTAATGTACTTACATACAAATGTATATGTGTGTTCATTTTTGAAGTTGTTTGAAAGTCTGTCTCCTAATGTGCAGTCTAACTCTGTTACTGAATATGGTATTTTTAATCAAATCAACCCTAGCTATTAGCCTAACAAACTTGTATAGTTATAATTAGAATGGTTTGGAAATAGACAGTTATGTGCTCATATTTTAAAATATTCTTCATTAAATATAATTATTTTTTTCAGGGAAAGGATGGCTATGTAATGTTTCAGAATTGTCCTAGAATGTTTGATACAGAAACTGCACAGACACTTTCAACAGTCGTTGTTAATCACTTTGAATCTATCAAGATTGTTCATGGCATCAAGAAGTGCATCTCAGGACACCGAATGAGTTTAATTACCAAGTCCAAATCAGCATCATTAACAGGTAATTTCAAATATATAATCTGAGGCAAATAGGGCTGCAATCCTTACATGGACTTTAGGCACCATGGCAATACACATAATTAAGTATATTTGTTCCTAACTTTCTAAATATGTTATGCAGCATTTTGTGATTTATCAAAGAAAAATCTCTTTATCCACTAATGGTAACAGTCAGGGCATATGGCTCATTATGAGGGAATGGGACTGAACACTTTCTCTAAGAGAGTTTTCTGAAAGAGGGACGGCAGGATGCACAGTGGGGTTGAGAGAGATTTCTGAAGGGATGGAAGGATAGAGGAGGAACATAACAGATTTCAAAAGCTTAAATCCCTAAATTAGTGTGAAATTCTGGTCTCCTTCATGAGTCTTTGGTAAAAGGACTTAATAGGAAGGAATAACCTAAAGCTATGGAGAACAAAATCTATATTGGAAGCAACAAGGAGTCCTGTAGCACCTTATAGACTAACAGATATATTGGATCATAAGCTTTCGTGGGTAAAGACCCACTTTGTCAGATGCATGTAGTGGACATTTCCAGAAACAGGTATAAATATGCAGGCAAGAATAAGGCAACAATAACGAGGTAAATTCAATCAGGGAGGATGAGGCCCACTTCTAGCAGCTGATCTGGAGGTGTGAACACCAAGAGAGGAGAAACTGCTTTTGTAATTGGCTAGCCATTCACAGTCTTTGTTTAATCCTGAGCTGATGGTGTCAAATTTGCAGATGAACTACAGCTCAGCAGTTTCTCTCTGAAGTCTGGTCCTGAAGTTTTTTTGCTGCAGGATGGCTTCCTTTAAATCTGCTGGTATGTACCAGAAGCCACAGCCTTTTATACTATCCCCACTTAATCCTCCCGAGCCCCAGTATCTGTGGCAAGAGGATTTACACAGGTTTTAGGCCTACTAACACTATCACAATTCCTTCCCCCATGGAGTTCAGATCCATCACAGATAGGGAACTGCTATGTAGGATGGGTAGCTCTTTTTTCCTGACTCTTCCATGCAGCAATTGCAGAGGCTGCATTTGTCTTTAGTTAAAAATTACTTACACAAGTTAAATGTCTTCTGTTCACCATGGCCTGATCAAATGCATCCTAGAATATTCAAGGTGCTGATAGAGGACATTAGCTATCATCTTTGAAAAGTCATGGAAGATGGGAGAGATTCCAAGAGAGTGGAAAAGGGTAAATATAGTGTGAATCTATAAAAAGGGAAATAAGGATAATCCAAGAAACTACAGATCTGTCAGTTTAACTTCTGTACCAAGAAAGATAATGGAGAATATAATTAAGAAAGCTATTTGCAATCATCTAGAAGATAATAAGATGATAAGTAACAGTCAGCATGGATTTATCAAGAACAAATCATGTCAAATTAACCTGATAGCTTTCTTTGATAGAATAATAAGGCTCCTGAATAAGGGGGAAGTGGTAGATGTGATATACCTAGCCATTAGTAAAGCATTTGATACAGTCTCATGTGACCATCTTATCAATACATTAGGGAAATACAATGTATATGGGGCTATTATAAGATGGGTGCATAAGTGGTTGGATAGCCATTCCCAGAAAGTAGTTATTAATGGTTCACAGTCATGCTGAAAGGACATAACGAGATATTCTGCAGGTATCAGTTTTGGGATCAGTTCTGTTCAATATCTTCATCAGCAGTTTAGATAATGACATAGACAGCAAAATGTGTAGGTGGAGTTGGCTTACCTTAAGCCAAACTATGGCAGCATCTATACTGAAGAAGACCGATGAGAGCAAACACTTGCCTCGGCTTCCCTTACTCCTTGCTGAAGGAGGAGTGCCAGACCCTGGTGGGAGCTGCTCTCATCATTGGATTTACAGGTCTATACTAGCCCTTATAAATCAAATACTAGAAGATTGGCCTCCAGAGCATCAACCTTGCAGTAAGTATAGATGTTTCCTCAGTGACTCCATGCATGTCCTGTGGTAGAAGACTGAAGGATTGTTTTAGAAAGCATATTTATATGATAGCGTAAAAGCAAAAATTACAAAGACAACTGGAAATTCCAAGCTGTCTGACCTCAAGATCTTGATGTGTGATTATTATTGAAGCAAAATAATAGCTTCATTTATTCCTTGGGGGGGGGCGGGGAAAGGATAGGATAGATTTAACAATGTATCAGTAAAGTTACAATATTTCTTTCTTTCCCATTAATGATCTAAGAAGAAGGCTTAAATCGTACATATAAATACAGTGAATTTTTTAACAACATTATGGTGTAAATGTGGATGGGGATTAAAGCTTGCCAGGAACAATCACTGAATAATTTAGGAGAAAATCTTGGAAAGAGGGATTTGGTTCTCCAATTTTGAGTGGTGATCTGCTCTGAATTGCAGTGCCTGGTAGGAGTGGCATCCTCCATAGAGCTACAAAGACTTAAACAATCTTAGAGAACTTGATAAAATATTAAGGATTTTTTTATATTTACTGAGGAAATTAGCATCCCCTGTTAAGAAAAAGACCAGATACATCAGGGAAGCTGTAAGAAATTTGGGTTTGATACTGCACGAATTCAGCATACACTTTTTTACATACGGAATATGGATGTTAGGCTACAAGTAGATTCAAATTCATAGAAGCATTCTCTTATACTTAAATATACTTTCATTCTGGCATTGAAATGTAAAGACAAAACAGCCTTGTGTTCTGTTTTGGGATCTTTCTTACAGAGTCTAGGTCTTCATATTTTTATACAACACCTTACCTTAAGTACAGGTTGAAATTTTAATCTCTTGAATGTAAAAAGTGAAAGTTCCATTCCCTTTCTCCATAGCAAAGGTTACTGTGCAGACTCTCCTTTAGGCCTCCTTTCTCCCTCTCTTTTTTAAGCTTCATTATTTCAATACTTTTTTATTGGATAGTTTGAAAGTAATTTTTCAATCAGACTACACTGTCAGGCCAGCAAAACTTGCATTCTGAGTTCTCATTTATTCCTCCCTGAGAAACTGTATCAGTCAAATGACTTGGATTCAATCAACAAATCTTGGCTCCATGGAACTGTTCCAGGGTTGTAACCGTGAACTTCTAATTAATATCTCTTATCACTCAATATTATAAATGTATGCTTTATATCTCAGCACTCTTTGGCATCTGCTGCTCTCCCTGGCAACACAAACACATCTAGGAATAACATGAATGTCTTCATTGTTGTATACTTCAGCAACATATAGGAGCTTAGGATTTGTACTCCTAACTTATTTAAGTAATTTTGAAAATCGCACATAGCATTTTGTACTTTACCATGATCCCTTGTTCTTTAGTGTCAGCCTCTTCTCACTGAATATTAGACAAAACTGACCTTTAAAAGAATATTAATTAAGTGTCTGAAGGAGAGGGTGTTGTTTTTCAGACATCCTTAATTGATTCCACTCCAACTTGTAGATCTCCTGTGCAAGACACTTGTGCATCTGTTCAGCAGCTTCAATAGGATGAAATATTAAATTCCTCTTACCTCCATAACAATAAAAAAATCCATGAAGTTAAAGCATAAAAGAGAAACCTAAAAACTATAATTCTCTTCTGGCAATTTCACCCAGTCAGTAAAATCCTGTCAGTAATACAGGAAGCTCTGCATTAAAAAATATTTTTCCTTTAGTCAGGGATACGGAGAGTTCTGAAAGAATGGCATTATCCATTGAACACTTCATCCTTGCACTGAAAAAGCCTCTATATAAAACTAAGTTAAGGAATCCTCTAAGATCTTAAGTCTTCTTCAGTGTTCCCTATTATCAAGAAACCACAATATGCCTTATTTACACATCATGATTCATGATACAATATTTCAGAGCAGATTTTAATTCAGAACCATCAGATTTCCATAGACAGGAAATTCAGAGCATTTTTGTGAAGTGGGATATGCGTTAGACAGTTTACTTTGCAGCAGGTACAATGTTAAGTATACTTCAGTCTCTTTCAGATAATAATCTTGGTTGAGCAGTTTGCTATATGTTTTTGTCCTTATAATCTAAAATGGAGAACTTTGTGGAAATGAAGGTAACTGAAGTTTAAAATATCTTCATAGCTCTAAATTTGGCCAAACAGACTGACATATGCACCTGTGATTTACATGTCAAAAGCATGAACAGTTTTCTAAAAGGTCTGACTCGATGCAGTAGCCCAATATACTTATTCACAATGCTGCTGAACTAATTTCTAATCCCAAATTGCACAAAGCATCTGTAAATGATAAAATGGAGAATACTATGTCAGGTAATACAGGAAAAGCCAGGTTAAAGCCAAGGTACTGTATACTTTATTAGGAACACCATCTTAGGGTATGTCTAGACTACGTACCTCTGGCAACAGAGGCATGTAGATTAGGCTACCTAGCATAGGAAAATGAAGCGGCAATTTAAATAATTGCCGCTTCATTTAAATTTAAATGGCTGCCGCACTGTGCCGATCAGCTGTTTGTTGGCTCAGCGTGCTAGTCTGGACGCTCCGCGGTTGACATCAAAGGCATTTGTCGACCTCCCCAGTATGCCTGGATTGGGTTTACCAGGGAGGTTGACAATGTTACACCTTGGTTCGGTGATGTGGTGGAAGCCTCAAGGGTTAAAGCCGATTACCTAGTGAAAACTACTGGATGATGGTGTAAAACAAATGATCTTTATTAAGTGGAATGATTCTTTTATCAAAACCAACAATTAGAAAATGGTCTTTTTAACTAACAATTGCCTAATGCTTTTACAGGGTAGAAAACTTGAACACAACTATACCTAACTGATTACAATTCCTAGATTACAATTTACTTATATTAAATCACTATTCCTAATTCGCTTAACGCAGCGCAGCATACAAATGAAAAATACAAAAAACAAAGCTAAAATAATAACAATAAGAAAGGCTACCCACAGCTAATCCTTCCAATGTTACTTTAGGACAGCAGGCAGAGTTAGTCATTGATTTTTGCTGTTACAGGTTAACAACTCCTGGGTTTTTCTTCTAACACTTGTACCTAGACTAAAACATAACACTATCACACAGCACAAAATTTCACTATCTATACAATGCAACTTGCTTATACCTTACAAGATTACAAGATATGATTAATACAACTCAACTACTGACTAAGCTAACAATTGATAGATTTAAGTAATACTTACAAATCCAGCAATGATAACGACATGAAGACACACAAAAACTCGGAGCATGCTCAGGACTCGCGCACCCCTATCTTTGACTCGAAGGGTGGGGAAGGCAGCCTCAGGGTGATCAATCCTTCAGCTGGGCAAAAAAACCACGTGCCCTCAATACATAGAACCTCCGTCGAACAAAGGGGTTGAGGGTCTTTTATAACATAACCTGATATCCGGTACCTTATTAGGGTCAGTTCCCTGGCCGGGCCTGATAGGCTGGTAATGAGTTAACGTGAAATACTGCCCTATAGGATTTTTCATGATGCCCGCCTGATGGCCCCGTGGACAGTCCTGGGTGTGGGCATGGTCAGTGTGCATGGCAGTTGCGTTTTATCTCCCTATGCCTACCTCCCTGCCTTCAAGGACTGGTCAAGAGAGTCTTATTTATCTCTTGCAGCTGTGTTCTATTTTTTCATGCTCACCTCCCTGTTCTATGATGCTTACAAGGCCAAATCCCGTTTTACAGAAAGCTGCATTGTGCTTCCTATGCTTCTCTGAGTATCTCACAGTCTGGGTTTTCTGTGAGGTGCCTTGTGTGGCAGGATGGGCTATACGCGAAGGCCATGGACAGAAAAAGCCTGCTTTACAACAGACAAATGCCTTTGATGTCGACCGCAGAGCATCCAGACTAGCGCGCTGAGCCAACAAACAGCTGATCGGCACAGCGCGGCAGCCATTTAAATTTAAATGAAGCAGTGATTATTTAAATCACTGCTTCATTTCCTTATTCCCAGTAAACAAATCTACATGGCTTCATCGATGGAGCTATGTAGTCTAGACATACCCTTACTGTTAGCAAATAACACTTTAGGTATCATGATAACATTACTTTGAACAGAAATCTGCATTTTGACAAAAGGGCTTGATAGGTTTTCTCTTGGGTTCCTAAATACCATCTCAGTCTCACTCTATAAAATTAACCTCTTATCACTTCTAATCCCTGTCCTTCCCTTCCCTCTGTCTTCTCCATTATCTGTTCTTCCTTGTCTCATGGACTCAGAGAGCCAGTTTTTTCCTTTGCATCATATTGGTGACAGAAAAAGAGAGAAAACTTGGTCTTATCTCCCTGTTGAAACTACCTCCTGCCTGGGGTCCTCACTGTGGGCATAAAGGTGGCAAAGCTGGCTCCCTAATCACTATTCCCCACCATCCCTGTCACAATAGTTGCATTGGGTGGCAAAAAAGAGGCATGATTTCATCACACTGTACACAGGCTATCCAAAGCTGTATTATCAGCTGTACATGTAGAGCAGCCTCCAGATTGCTCTACATCAGTCCAAGACAAAGAATCAGAGAGCTATAACCTGATAGGCTTCCTTTTGCTATAGCAAGCAGAATATCAACGCATCAGGAAATCTGGCCATAAACTTTGACGCTTATATTTTTCTTCCCACATATCCTGTTTCTCATGAAAACACATTTCTGCTTAATAGTATCAAAATCCACTTTCTTTAGCAAACCCTTTGTTAAACTAAGGTCCATGATCTGGTCAGCTGCTTACTTTGTGTGGCTTTGTAGTCAATCAACTCTCTTTTGTGTCCAAAATGCAGTGCTGAAGTCATTTTCCTCACCTCTATCTCAAGTCACATTCTTTGCTTTCTTTGAATTCTGCTGGCTTCCTGTCTCTTACCACCTCATATTCAAATTCTTCTTTCTCTTATATAGTCTCCTGTTTACACTTGTCCTTTTTCTGTCTACTCCCTTAATCCTGATGCTATGCTGCTTCCTTTTTCACACCTTTGGCTTTGTCTTCTTTCCAAATGGTAGTATGTGATGTCCCTTTTGTACAATGTATCTTCAAGCCTTAATTTGGAGTGATGGATACATTCAAAATATCTGAAATAGATAAATAGTTTCAATGTTAAGGGTACGTCTACACTGTGGGGCTATTTTAGGATACTTCTGGTATCCCGAAATAGCTATTCTGCATCTTTTGAACAAGTTCATTATTTCAAACTAGAATGGATTCACTATTCCAACATCCCTGTAAACCTCATTCCATGAGGCTTAAGGGATGTTTCGGAATAGCAGTTTATTTCAAAATTTGGCACTGTGTAGACAGCACCAGAGTACAAAATCAGCTATTTCGAAATTAACTCGAAATTGCATAGCTTATTTCAAGCTATGGGTACAGTCAGGGCTGGATTACCCAATAGGCAGACTAAGCATGTGCTTAGGGCATCAGCAAAGCAGGGGCACCAAAAAAAAGAGGAGATTTTACAGTATAATATTGTTTTTGTTTTGAATTACATATGGGGGCGCACCATAATTTTTTCAGTGTTTAGGGCCTTTAAAGGTCTTAATCTGGCCCTGGGCACAGTGTAGATGCACCCTAAGTCTCCACCAATCTAGGTAAGGTTTGAACTAGGAATATGGAAGTGAAAGGCAGTAGGTCATTCCATTATTAATCCCTTGAATGGTCATTGACTTCTTATTCATATATTGTAAAACACAATGGCAGAGGGGCCCATATTCTGCAAACATTATTTTACTGGATTCTGACATATTTTCAACATGTAAGAGAACTATGCTTAGCTCATTTGTTATTGCTTGACATAACAATATTAAAATATAGCTCTATGGGTCTGCAAAAAGAGTACCTATGGTAAGCTTTGTGGAGGGTGAATTTATGAATGGCTCATCAGAAAATTCCAGTTACTCCTAAGCAAGACAGGTTTTGAATATGTTAATTATTGTAATACCTTATTGACAGTATAGTAAGATGCACATTTAGGTTGTTTACATGAGGAGAATTTAGTTTAATTAGCACTAACGTTTCATGAATTTATCACAAGCCTTTGAAACAAGAACGGATAAAAGCACATCAGTAGTTGCAGTGCCTGGCATAGAAGGAAGAATCTGTCACATTTCCAAGGAAATGAAGGAACACTTGCGACAACTAAGAATAGCAAAGAAAGAAGGGCTAAACACATTTCCCCCACTTAGCAAAGACTGTGAGAATTCTAACTCTGACTGAAAGTGATATCACCATTAAAACAGTACCTAAAACTATATTATCTGCTACTTCAGTTGTTATGTGTTTTCTGCATATTTATTAGAATCAGTTAGCTCTTTCTTTCTATTGTATTCAAAAATTCCATAAATTTTAGTGTTTGTTCATTTGAAATAATTTTAAATAGTTCTTGTATTCATCAAATATCTCTCTCAGAAAAATGTAATGCAACCATTTTCTTGTATTTAAAATAATAGTTCATTCTGGAAATAACTTTGCCTTTGTTAAACGGATGTTTTTCATAATATTGCCATTTCACACATAGCTATACTTTTAACTATAATGTGCCTACTGATAGCTTATAGTGCATCTATAGAAAATATGCAGTATTAAATCTGAGAGGCATTTGTCTACTGGCATGAGCCTAATTAATGCATTCACAGAGAAAATGCTTCCAGTATATCAGAGTAAAACCAAGACTATAGTAATGATCAAAGAATCATAATAGACTCTGCTTGGCTAACTGTTATATGGCCAGTAAAATGCCACAAAACGGGAAAGTGTCATGTCAAATATTTATTTTTCTCTGTTTGATCATCACTTAAAAACCAATAGAAAAGTACCAGTGTATCCTCCTTAATGTACTGAGGTTTGTATTGTCTGATATTTTACTGTGATTATGCATGCTACCTCTGTAAAGCCTATGAAACAAATAAAAAGTTATAGCAAGAGGTGATAAACATATTGTGATGTTTCTCTAATGCATTAATTGTTTTTAATTATAAAGAGATGTATTTATTTAGATGCATTTAACTACATTTCACTTTTAGCAGGTTTTTGTAAGTCTAATACATGCTCAAAGTGGATCACATTCTCTTAGTGCCTTGACTTCTATTTGTGCTTTTGAAAAGCTCCCCTTTGATTCCTAACACCCACTTTTATTGATATTTAGGTGCTTACTTGCCATTTGTGCCTTTGTCTCAATTGAGTGTGAGCATGTGCTTTGATTTCCTAAACGTTAGGCAGTGTATTTCCTGTCTGTGAAGAATACCACTAGCTGCAGCTGTTCTAAACAAGCTAAGGCCTGTTCAAGAAGCAGGTGAATACAACAGAAGATTCTGACCAACACAAACAGAAACTCCTCCCCCAGAGAGGAATTTAAATTCACTGCTTTCAAGCTCATCTCATAATGCTGTAAAAGCTACCATGAGTGCCTTAGTTTGTTCTGTAATAATATATGCTTAGATAAGTGTGTGTTTTCTTGTGTAAACACCACTCCATTGTACATACAGGTCATTTTTCTACTGGCTTCTCTGAGAATGGGGAGTAGCTTGTCTGCACTATATGGGCATATCTACAGTGCAATTAAACACCTGTGTCTGGCTGCTGTCAGCTGACTCAGGCAAGGCTGCAGGGCTATAAAATTGTGATGCCTTTATTTGGGGTTGGGCTGGAGCTCATACTCTGGGATCATCTCTTTTCACAGGGCCCAAGAGTGTGGCCTCCAGCCCCCATGATCAAAGATTCACATTGTAGTTTTACAGCCCTACTTCCCAAGCCCTACCAACACAAATTAGTTGATGTGTTAACTGCAGGTGTTTAATTGCAGTGAAGCTATACTATATGTGAGTTGAAGTATAACTTTAATAAATATATTCTAGCAGGTTTGCTTAGCATGAAGTCTTTCTAAAGTGCTATGTTACTTTTATTTTTGTCTGAATTAAAATGAAATATAGATGGTTTCAGCTGCAAATGATATCTGAAATATTAAATGGAACCAGGCTTTTGTGAAAGCTTGAGCTTTCCACCCTCATTTCTCCCTCCTCCATTCTTGATAAGTCAAATATTTAAGAGTTGCTCCTGGACAAGAATTGCTGCAGTACTGTACATAGAGGATCTTAATCTTCTGTCAGTTCTCTCACATAGCAATACTCAGAAGTTACAGTGGTCTCTAGGATTGTTTGCAGATCCTATTTTAAGGTAAAGTTTAATAAACACAAATGTAATCCCCTTACTATCGGGGCCTCTGACTTACTGGGCAGATCCTTTGTGCTACAATCTAGCCCTAGAGACTTCAACTTCCATGAGCCCTTGGGAAAAAGGAGGGAAAAACTGTTGTTGTCTTCCAGGCAGGGCAGAGAGAGAGTTGTGCGGCTCCATTTGGAGAGAGGAGCCAAATTGCTGGTGTGGAGTCTTTTCCAGGCCAGGAGCTGTTGTGCTGAAGCTAGAGCCAGTTACTGGGAGCTTGCTGCGTCAGGGGCTGCTAGTGTGATTGTCCCTGGATGGGAGATACTTTGGCTGTGCCTGTGGCTGAGAAGGGCCTGAGTAACTCTGCAAAGAAGGTACCGTTAGTAACTGTGGCTGTTTGGGAAAGTGCTGCCTGGAACAGAACACAGAAAACAGGCTGACTGGGTCCAAAGAGGCAGAATGATCTGCCAAGTGAACCAGAGATACTAGACTGCCTTGCCTGGACTGGCTGCTTATCTTGGACTGACACACACAGAACCTGCACAGTGCGGCCTCCACTCCAGCTGCACATCTTCAAGAGTGCCCACACAAGCGTCTGGGACTCTGAGATCCAGAGGAGTGCACACTCTGGGATGGGATAAATGGGGGCAGTGTAAATGCCAGTTAGATAAGTTGCCTTTATTTCTATGTACTTTAATTCACTTTTCATCTGTTAACAACTTAAAGAAACAGGGTTTAAGTAAAAGTTTGTTAATTCTAATTTAATCAGTTAATGTATATTATTTATAATTGTTGTTTTGGAGTTAGATTCATATTATTACTGGAATAATTTTATTCCTGGAGGCTCCCAAGGCACATCATTAAGTGTGTATAGGGCCAGCCAGATGGAGACACTACCATTGGATATTTCTTTAGGAGCAAGGGACTGCAGCAAGGGGGCGGATAGAGAAACCCCTGCTATACAACATCACCACTGGGGTACTCAGGATTTCATTTGTTAAAATTATCAGGTGCCCAGGCATACAGATTAGTGTAACCTGCTCCTGGGTAATTCAGGGACGAAAGAGGGGGTTACATAAACAAAAAATTGAAAGTAGTAGGGGTTGCATTGTACAAGACAAAAAACCAGAAGCACTTGATGCACTCTATAGAAATGCTTATAAATAAATTATTAGAAATGCTTTAGACAAACATTAAAAACTTATAACAATGCAGGGAGATGGACTATATCCAAGTAATCAGTTTTTTTTGGCATGGTCCAAATTTCTTGGTCAAGGTGTAGTCAAAGTACAGACTCCAGAGAAAATATTACAAAATTAATAACTATAATGGCAGTACAGAAAAATATTTTGTGGCTTGTTCAAAAACCTTTGGTGGTCTGGATTTGGTGTCTGGTTTGCTTTTTGCCTACCTCTGAGCTAAGTAATGTTTGTCTGTTAAGGAATAATTTTTAGGATAAATATAGGTCCAGTACAGCTCCTCTTTAAATCAGTGGGAAACTTTATCCTGCCTTTAATGGGAGTTGAATTAGATGCTATGGCAGCATCAATGAATGTCCATGTTTATTATTTTGTAGGAATAATTTTATTGTAAAATTAAAATGAGCTCTCATAGTGGAATGTTTTTTATTCAGTATCTTATGCTACTTGCCCAACTTGTTATAACCCTCTAGTGCATTCCCTCCTTAGTACCGCATATCCCACCTGATCGCAACTCTTTTAGAGGTCTGTTTTTTATAGTACCATCCTTCTGCAAATGCCAAGTCAGTTTGTTAAATATGCTGAAGGACATAAAATCCTGTTATTTCATATCCTTTGGTTGTCCTATATCTAACACTACTTAATTGTGACTTGTCACTGGCTCTCAGTGTTATTTCTCACATCTTGCTTGTGCTATTGTACTTTGATTATATTACTGACATGGCCCTTTAAAGCACAGGTAATTTAATTTGGGAAGTCTGACTATAGCTTTAAAGGGAGTTGGTGTTCCAGGTAGCTGAATTAGATCATAATGTTCTGAATAAAGGTGATGGAAATATTAGCCAAATGCAGATAGCAATGGTCTTGGATCAGTAAAATACCCATTAAGTTGTAATGACTGAGCCTTTCCTCCTGCTGCAGCTGCTCCAAGGCTAGATCCTGGCTTATACTCAGACCTCTTTGTGCCACTGTTGCACCTAAAGTGGCTTTAAAAGTTCTGTAAGCTTCCTGTTCTAGTCCAGGAATCCTCTGATATCATAGAACCATAGCTACCTTTGTGCCTGGTATTGGGGGTGGCAAGAGGGGTAGGGGAAGAGGTGGGTGCAGTCAGAGCACACTGTGCTCTGGGAACAATAACTCCTAAGTGACCATTACTTAAGTCACTCACTTTTACACAAGTTTCAGAAACACTCATATAGACTACACACATTTCTACCTCCTCCCTCCCCCCCAGTCTGGCCACCAGCCCAGCTCACTCCTGGCTTGGGATGGACCCGGGTCCTACCCCTGCTGTGGCTCTGCATTTAAAGTGTATTAGGAGTCGGGTGGGCAGACAGCCCGGCTCCATTCTGGCTTATACCAGGTCCGGGAGCTCAGATCCCCTCCCCAGACAAGGGCTGCTGCCACCCTGCACTGTTGCCTCTATCAGGGGCAACAGCACAGGGTGACAGGTTTTTTAAATTGGCTCGCCTCACAGACCAGCTCCTGCCTGGCACCCCGCACTGATACAGAGGCCGCAGCACGGAGTGGCAGGGGACTCCTTGGGAGTGAAGTGCACAGGCTGCTGGCCCTGCGCCCAGGGACTATAGAATGGTTGACTAATCAATAAGAATTCATGAGGTTACTCGACTATTCAATTAACCGATCTTTAACATCCCTAGTATAAAGACGTATCTCAGAAGGAACATCTTTGGCCAGCCTACAGGTCATGGAAATTCCCAACACTGAGGCTATGTCTACACAGCAATGTTATTTTGGAACAACTGATGTTATTCTGAAATAAAATAGTTTGTGTCTACATTACAAGCATTTATGTCAACATAATGTCAAAAAAATGTTGAGCTGCAGGAGTTCTTTCTCCAACTCCTGTAACCCTCAGTTTACAAGGAGTAAGGGATGTTGGAGGAAGAGTGCCCTACCTTAGACTTCCTGCTCTATAGACAGCACCAAAAAGCCAAAATAAGCTATTTTGACTTCAAGCTACAGAATTGACATACAATTGCATAGCTTATTTTGGCTTTAGCTCTGCTGTGTAGACATGCCCTGACTAAGCTGCATCCATTGTCACAGATACCTGTCTTAGTATCCTGTAGTGTCTGCCAGATGCCATTACTGGGCTTCATCAATAATAAACCTGGTTCAGTGCCTTCATACCTTAATGGATCTTGTTATCATTGGACCGATCACTTGATGTCTGTTGAGCCAACCTCTGTGTACAGCTGAGCCAGCACACAGGGAGAATACACACAAACAGCTAGGCACAGTGGCTATATGTAATGCATTTTAGTGATGATCAGAGCTTGATGAACTGCAACGAAAGTCGCTCACCAACCCCGCACTGCACATGCGCAAGAGCTGCATTGAGCATGTGTGTGCTGCCGGTAAATGGGATGCCAGGCTGAAATCTACTCACCACGGGTGAGTAGATTCAATAGATTGTTGAACCCTGGTGATGATGACCAGTGTCTGACTCAGC